AAAAAGGGCCAAGCGTCACACAAGTAAGAATTAGTATCGTCTTGCAATCAAGTCTGAGCAGTAGCAGCAGCTTAAGGGACAGGGGTGGGCGCACTTGAAGCGAACGACGGGATCCGGATCAACATTGTTGAAGGGCTGAAAATAGAGGCGTTTGTTGGTCAGGACGGCGCGGCCAGCGTTGCGTGTCAGGGGCAGGATTCGATCAGCCTGCATTTCAATGGCAATCTGCGCAAGAGCGAGGCAATGGAAAAGAGGATGTAAGGCCGGGCAGCTTCAAATGTGTGTCTTTCCTGTTGGCGGCTCATTTGTGTGCCTCGGTGTCTTTGCAGGGCACGTGTCACGCTGACCTCTTCGCTGAGCTCACGCAGCCAGCTGGCATTGAAGACGACCTTGGCACGGTGCTCCTCAATCACCTGCTCAATGATGGCCATGGTCTCAAGGTGCGTGTCGCGTTGCCAGGCATCTTGCAGCTGGCGATTGTTGAAGGAGGTGAAGCGTTGGTGAGGACACGTTTATCCAACAAGCACGGCGTGGTGGGTGGTGGGACGGGTAGCAGACTCACTCGCGCAATCTGAGCCATGACTTCCAAGGGATTGCCAAACTTGAGGCAAAACGTGAGGTTGACAGGTTCGGCAGGCTTGACAAAGGTCCATGGCTTGATGCGATTGCTTTCTCTACAGCGTTGGGTCAGCCATGGGTAGCGCAGCAAGTGGCAAATGTGCATCAGGATGGGAGATCACTAGGGGCCCTGCTTGCGCATCTAGCGGGCGCCGAGATGCGCAGCCGGCTTACTTGGCTTCGACATATTGGGTGACGGTCACGGTAAAACCTGTGAGGGGCGGCAAAGGATGGGAAGCGAAGAGTGAGTTGCTGGGTGTAGGGGTCAGCAGCGGGGAGCAGATGTGACACATTGTAGGTGTCACCTTGAGCATCATCGTCACGCCAGGGCTTGAGACGGGTGACATGGCGATAGGCAACCTGGTTGAAATTGTTTCGGACAAAAATAAATTGAGACGCTTGCTTGGCATGGCGACATAAGCACAGGCACAGGCACAGGCACAAGCATGCCCAGGCAATGGCAGGGGCGCACCTTCACCAGCGGCAAAATGAAATCTTTTGGCTCAAAGACAAAGGCGTTGGCACAGACTTTGAGGCGCCCGTCTACAGGGCTGCACGACACGTTCGACGACAGGGGACAGTTGCTTGAAATCGGAGTGGCAGACAGGCGCGAAGGGCAGGCTCAGTCAGCCGGCACGCACCGGTTGCGCAGCGTCGTTTGCACGGTGTAGTCTTCAAAGTACTGATCGTTGTGGTCCAAGAGCAGAAGGTTGAAGCTGTATGTTGAAAGCAACGAGGCAAAGCAGAATGGCACACAGTGTCCAGATGCGAACAAGGGACACGGCCGCGTGAGTGTCGCGATCAACGCGGTCGCACCGCCGTCGGCCTCCCCTGTGGTTCACATGCAGGGTGTGCCATCGACCAAGCCAAGCCATGCACATATCCTGCTCGTACCGCTGCTCGCTCAGCCTCTGTGAGCCGGATTCCGTCTTGAGAAACGCCATGGCGTGCAACGGCGCGCCTGACGGGCGAGCAAAGCAGGACCCCACGGGTACCGCTTTGGCTTCGGCACAACCACAAAAGAAACCCCCTGCCAACTCCCTGCAGTCGCCGCACACACAGCGCTGCTGGTCACACTGCCTCTGACCATATGGAAAATGACACTTGACACTTGTGAGAGAGAGAGAGAGAGAGAGAGAGAGAGAGAGAGAGAGATTTTGAGAGAGAGAGAGAGATTTTGAGAGAGAGAGAGAGATTTTGAGAGAGAGAGAGAGATTTTGAGAGAGAGAGAGATTTTGAGAGAGAGAGAGAGAGATTTTGAGAGAGTTTGAGAGAGATTGAGAGAGAGAGACAGAGAGAGACAGAGAGAGAGTGTGTGTGTTTGAGAGAGATTGAGAGAGAGAGACAGAGAGAGACAGAGAGAGAGAGAGAGAGAGTTTGACAGAGAGAGACAGACAGAGACAGAGACAGAGACAGAGACAGAGACAGAGACAGAGACAGAGAGATAGCACTTTTCGTTTTGAAAACCAAAAAACGAAGGCCTTTATTTCTTTGTCTAAAAAAGGATGAAGGGTTCGAATGGAGACGCCGTTCACTTTGGACGGCCATCGCAGGGAAACGGTGGCATGACTTGAAGCGAGCGCTATTTGTGTATCGATTAGGTAGCGTTCGTACTTTGGTTGTCACAAAAGAGTTGAGCACATAACAGCCAGTATCGGCCAACGAACAACAAGGATGGAGAGGCGACTCTGAACAAGCTCTCATCAGTCTGGAAGGAGGACACGAAACAAATTAACGACAGTTGAAGCGCACTGCGCACAGCCAGGTCAGGCGGAACAGGTGGATCGCCCCTCCCCCGAAAGTTCCCGAGAGGAAAACGATCAGGAGAAGTCACACGGTCAGCAGCTGCAGAGGGTGGCCAATGATGTGAGTGGTGGCGCAGCGTGCACGGAGTTCTTAAGAAAAGTCCTTAGGAGAAATGTTAATATATGCTGTACGGCGGGATGGCGATGCCACACCGGCCAGCTCTAAACAGTCAGGGGGAATGGCCATGGTGAGTGGACCGGCCGTGCGTCCGGAAACATCTGCGCCAGCCAAGCGCGGACCACGTACGATCAACGGCATCCAATTGGCCGAGCAAATCGTCAATTTCTGCGTCCATGCGCGCCGTATCCACCTCATCGGTGGGGTTGATGATGCGAGAATCCACTGCACGACAAAAAAAAAAAAAAAAAGAGACCAAGCGTGAGACCCTGGACCTTGCGGGCCGGGGTTGACATCTCAGACAAGGGGAGAAATGGCAAAGCTCCAAACAAATCCGAACTCGGCAAAAGAACGAGCAGGACACATAAAGCCACGCTTGGATGCGCAGATGAATTGTGCAAAGCAGGCCACCATACCACGAGCACGAGAGCGGTGCGAAGCTGCGGATAGAGCACTACGCTGGTCTTCGCTCACGTCCCAACGGGTTTGCTTTTTAGCGTTTCGACTTGATGCCGACGATTGATTGGTGGGCGGCTGGATCAAAAGGTGAGGATAGACACATGCGTCAGATTCCAACATCACTCCACCATCGCAGCAGAGCACATTAGACCCGCTACACCAGCACATGCTTACCGAAGCAGTGGCCGAGAGGAGGGCGCTCGTCTTTTCAAAGTCAATGTCTGAATAGGCGACATGACCTAGCAAGAAGGCAAAATGGCAGAATGTTGAAGGGCGGTCAAACAAACGCGTCAGGCCACACGGGCAGAGGAGACGGGCACAGCTGGGAGAAAGTGCCAGGGGAAGGAAGGCACTGCGTGTCCAACCGGGCAATCCAGCCAATTGAGGCGTGTGGAGACCGACCTTTCTTGGGTGCGACCGTGTTTTGCGCGGCTTTGTGTTGTTGATAAGCCAGCGTGCGTTGCTGGCCTTCCGCGATTTCACGGTGAGCGCTGTCGGTCATGAAGACGAGGTCACTGTAGCGGCCGTGCTTATTCATGTGGGCGGTGGGCTTGCCAATCTTGTCGTAAGAATGACGAAGGGGGCCGGCTTGGGCAATGCTGGGTGCGCGGGGCCCGACTTGGCGTGCATAGTTGGGGGCCAGGCTTGGGCGCCGATCGCCGCTGTTCTGGCTTTCCTCAAATACACAGCCCGCAATATCTACTCGGCAAGGGCCGGTGGGTGAGAGGCCGCAAAGAAAAACAGGATAGCCAAATCAGATGCCCATGGACGAGGACAGACATTGTACGGTATCGGTCAAATCAACAGCGTCATTTTTATCCTGGCAATGGAAAATGTGTTCGCCGACACCCGTGGAGGTTCGGCTACCGGATATGACACGAAATCTAAGGGATGGGGATTGAGAAGCGGTCCAGCATCGAGCAGATGCCTTTCGATGAGAACCTGAATGCGCCCACAGCGAGTGGCCTGGGGTGTGGTGAGGCCACTTGACTTTTGGGCAAGGTGCACGCACGTGTCAGCACGGGGCCCAAATTCACGAAGGAGGGCCACAGGCCAGTGGGCAAATAGCTCTTTGGTGCCGTCGAGGTATTTGATGATCAGGGAACGGCCAGCCACATCGGTGGTGATTTCGACGCGTCGGCCGAGGTAGAGAGCTGGGACGGTGAGATCGGTTGAGGCAATGGGCTGTGTGTCTTCATCATCGCTCGAGCCGTGGGATACGCGCACGTGGCGGAAGCTGCGTTGAATGGGGTTGCTGCTGCGCTTGGCGCGACCCAAGCTGGGTGACAATCGGCTGCGCGCGAGGGGCGGGACACAAGTTGAGTGAGCCATGCCTGTAGTGTAATCTTTTCAATTTTTTTTTTTTGGCTTGTTCTTGTACAGGTGAGCGCATGGGCTGCGAGAGAGAGGGGAACGGGCGGGAGTTGAGACCAACTTGATATCTCGCATCCAGCCTTGGCGGTCAATCTCAGAGGCCGCCTGCATGAAATAAACACGATCTGTGGTGTAAACGGCGAAAACGTGCTGGAGTTTACTCTGTTCCTCGGGAACCACGTCCTTGATGTCGGTCAGCGGAATGCTGCCCTTGAGGGTGGTGGGATTTTTCTTCTTGTAGTAGGCAAGCTGCTCGTCGTCCATAACAAAGTACCGCTTCTTCCAGCGCTTCTTGTATTGTCCGTTGGCGCTGGAGGGAGGTGATTTGACCATCCAGCCTTGCCTTAGCGCGTCGGCAAATGGGGCCTCCTTGCCCGACATGGTGAACAGATGATTGACCGAGGTACAAGCGCCCCCAGCCCGGGCCCGGCCCAACCTCTTGGCAGCGACTAGAAATGCACGATGTACTCCACAGGAAAGCTGCTCAGACCCAAGAAGAGCGAGAAGAGCGAGAAGAGAGAGAGAGAGAGAGCGTGCTTGCGCGCGTGCGAGGAGAGAGGGGGGCGGTGTGTGGCGCGTGCGGGGATCGGTACCCGCCCGCTTGATCAACAAGGACCGTAGCCCCAATATCACCGTGTATGACGCCTACACCAAGGGGTTCCAATATCAGATACAGCACTTATTGGATCCGATCCATCCAGCAAGCACCATCCCCGTCGACCGTGGCCCCGGTTGTTCAGCCGCTGTCGTCGCAACCAACAAAAACATCAGAAATAAAGAGAGAGAGAGAGAGAGAGAGAGAGAGAGAGAGAGAGGCACAGCACATAGAAGACAGAGAGAGACAGAGAGACAGATGAATTGGTTAGAGAGACAGAGACAGAGACAGAGACAGAGACGAATGTACCTTAATATGTTGTTCAGCGGGATAGTTCGGTCACCTCCTTGAAAGTAACATATGTATTCCCTTTTTGTAACAACATATTGCTCTTGGGATTGAGGCAGGTGCGATTAATTGGCAGTCAGTATTTCGGGTCGTGCTCGGCCATTCTGTGTGAAGTACGTTTCAAATCAAGCACAGCAGAAGCGCTAAATTTTTGTGGATCAAACGAGGGTGCTCTTGTGTTCATACGCTTCCTGTGGATGCCGTAGCAGCCCAAAGACCAGAAAATTAGTTATTCTGAAATAAATCCCATTTCTTTTCCTTACAAAACTAACTTAGTTTTGATTCTCTAGGGCTACATGGCTCCGATTGGTATGTCAAATGGCAGCGCCATAAGACGAGTCAGCGAAGCAATGAGACAACTTGGTGGGTAGAGGCAGATGGACAAGACAAGTTCTGATTGATCAATGGTCATTCAAGGTTTATTTCGATTGACAAACGCCCGGGACGATTTTTTTTCCAAACACTTAGTAAGCAAGCTGTTTCCTTATTGGGTGGACTTAGACGATTTTCTCTTCTTGGGATGTGGTTGCCACTGCGCCACTCGTGCAAGGTGTGTTCGACGTGGAGACCGAGTTTGGACGATTGATGGGGAAGGGCTACGGTCCGCAGCGGCGCTTGAGGCTTCTCGTGTTCGCGCCTCGGTACTTGCATGTGATGTCTCTGATGCCGCCGTAGACGGCGTGGTGCACGGTGGACTTGTCACCTGAATGCAATGATGAAGACGAGGAATACAGATGAGAGTAGAGCCAACGAAGATGGAAGTACAAATGAGAATGAAGCGCACGATTCTCTCAGATACTCGTCGTGATCGCACGGAGCTACGCAGAGACCGGGAAGACGTACCAAGTGGCTGACATCGCCTCCAAAAGGCACACGGCTCAAGAGCTCCTGTTTTTTGCGCTGCCTTGCCGCCGTGCGACTCAAGGGGCTTTGACGCTTGGTGTTCTGCGCGTGGTGCGTTTCCGTGGGACCGAGCAAAAGACCGCTGCTTAGATTGGTAGTCAAGTCGGGATTGGGCGTCTTTGCTATGGCATCAGCATCTGGACAGTTGAAGGCGTTGGTGTTGGTTTGCAGCAAGGTCACGCGGGCATCGGTGGATGACGCGATTGAAGCGGCAATGTCTGAGGGAGGGACGACTGAAGCAGAGGCGACTGGAACAGGGTTGACTGAGGCAGGTGCAGTGGAGGTAAAAGTGGCGAGGGCAAGGTTGGAGGTTGTCCCAGCGGCCGGCGGTTCCGGCACGGCCACAGCAGTCTGGGTGGTACTGGCTGAGAGGGCGGCAAAAAAATTATTGGCAGAGTCTTCTCCTGCCTCGAGCTCTTCACGCGCCAAAGGCTGCACCAGGGTCTGCGCAGCCGAATCAGCTCCTTCGCCGCCGTTGGGCGAGTGTTCCTGATGGGGAGGATCGATAGGGCAAAAGGGCGCAAACTCATCATAGTCGTCAACGCTATCGTCAACATCGCTATCGTCGTCAACGCTATCGTCGACATCGCTATCGTCGTCATCGCTATCGTCGTCATCGCTGTTCATCATGTTGGTGCCGACATTGTCCTCGACATCAAGTTGGCTGCATGGACCGTCG